CAATGACCAGTATATTTTCTGAGGCACTATAATCGTTGGTGTTTATGAAATAGTGTAGCTTGGTTGTTGACTGCTTTACTGCAGGGAACTGTGAAGAGAATGCTTGCATCCAAGTCTTGCACATTGCATTGATTGCCTGTGTCTTAAGAGGTTCGTGCGTAACAGTTTAGCAAGTGGATTAACTATTTGAGGCTTAAGTAGAAAAAATAATGTAACTGCTTCTTGTGCCCATTATAGCTTTAGTTAAACTTTGTCTCATATTTCCAGGCCTTCTGTTATGCTTGAAAATGGCCATCTAGCCTGAGTGTAGGGTAGAGCATGCCTACCCTGATGTTTAATTGAAGCATGTGTAGCTCATGACCTACATAGTCATATGAACTGCAACAATATTCAGTAAAGGTTAGATATTGGGTGCAGTTTATTTAAAAATCTTGATGTAGTTTGTCTCGTATAATGAAAGTCAGAGAACTCTAAAATTGCGAGTGGAAGCTTCTTGGAATATAATACTGCTTTATGCTATTTGCAGTCCTAAAGCTCTTTGCATTTTTAATGAAATTTTGAATTATGTGACTTCACTCAAAATGGCTCAGCTTCCAGGAAAAAAATGCATTAGTGGCATGAGGTACATACCAAGTTTAAAAACAGAGCCCAAGTTGGAAATGCCATTTGTTTAAAATACGTGGTTTCATTTTAAAATCGAAGTTTGTTAGATGTTCTGTAACAAGCTTTTGTGGTGCACAGGCGTGGTAGGGGCTGGTAAGGGTTTAGAAGAAACCAACTGGCAAAGCATTTTATTGGTGGAAAAGTATTTCTTTGTTCCGGAGTAAACAGTGTTGAGAGCCTGACAGACTCATTTTGATTCTGGAGCCGGGGACAATCTTGGGTTTTGAACAAGAAGATTAGTGCCAGTTTTGCTCTGAATTAATCTAAAGTCTGTTTGCATAGACAGCAGTAAAACAGTACTGACTGGGGACTTCTCAGTTTGATTCGGTTACCTGCTTGTTGTAGGATGTATTTGCAGAAAGACCTGTCTTCCCATGATCACTTAGTGAAGATAAAAATTTTTGAATTGGCCAGGTGGAGAAAGTAAGGTGGTGATAGATGGAAGTGTGTTCATGCATTTTTCTCTTCTGGGGTTAGAGACATGCTGGATCAGTTACTATTCCTCACAACCTAAAAAAAGAGAACCCTTTGACGTATTACCACAGTACGTGCATATTTGTGGATAGCGGCGTTTGACAGCTGAAGCCTACACACAAAACCTCCATCATTCAAGTACCCCAGCCCCTTTCTGCCCTGCTTTGCAACTGCAGTTGCTTGAAAAGAGACTTAAAAGATGCTTGACAAGTTACAGCTCATTTCTTTGCACTTACTTAAATGTAGTGCAGGCTTCCTAATGAACTACTTGATCTTGCATCATCAGAAATTTTTGATCAATGTGCAGCGTTACTGGAGGTTGTTTGCACAAGCTAAACGCAAAGTTAAAAAATAACTGCTTGTGCCCACTTCTAAATTGACAAAAGCAGCAAACTGATTCTTGGTTTCATGTAGCTCTGCTGTTGAAGCGATGGCTATATGTTCTTTCCAAGGTGGGGAAAGAAACAAGTAAAGCTAATGTGGACATCTGGTAAAATTTTGTTAAATGAAGATCTTTTAGAAGAAACACAACTGAAGCTAATCTTCACTGAAATCTGTTTGTAAGCTTAGTTAAGTGTGTGTTACTCCCAGAACATCCAGAGCTTTGCTGTTAGACATTAAGAGGGTAATGCTGAATACAGTGAAAGCTTTACTAGAACTGGTACTGGTTTTGAGCACTTATTTTCTTAAGGAAAAATACAAGTTCATATTTGTTATCTCTTACAGTAAGACTGATGAGGTGTTGGCACTTGAGGTCCTTGAGAAATTACCTTTGTTGAGGCTGGTTGGTGACTTTGACGACTGTTAGGTCAGTGTTGAGGACTTCTGAAAATCCCACCCGTTAAGCCCTTGGTTTAGCTCTCGGTGTGATTTGTTTGGCCATGTGTCAACATCGGGTCCTACTTGAGTCTTGAAGAAGGTTGGATGAATTTTGAAAGTGCATCTTTCTAGGAACTCAGGCTAGTCAGGAAGGCCTTTCTGTCCTCAGGATAACTATGTGTGACTTCCTCTGGCTTCATGAGATGGGTATGGAGTATTTAGGGAAAGGATATAGCCTTGAGTGTGGAGCTTATGCAACACTTGAAATGGCTCCTATTGCTGCAGTATAATACATGCGGACAGATTAGTTGGCTCTTGATGGCTTCTGGGATGGTAATCAGCAGATTTCTGTGGAACAAAAATGTTTTTCCTGTGCTATCCAGGGCTACACTTAAAACATCTCATTTATTAACTTTTTGTTAGTAGCAGAAGGTTTTGAAGTACAGTGACTGCGGTAGAGAAAGCTAGTATTTGCTAAATGATGTGTTAAAACACCGTGTAGAGGAGCACAGAATTTTCTAATTTTCTTCCAGAAGAGAGGTGACTCTATTATCCATTTTCTTCCTTGTAGGATTATTTGGACACCTAAATCCCCTTTGTTGTGGAATCAATTGATATCATTTGTTCAGTAATATTATGGCTGAAAAAAATGTGTTTTATTAATACATTATGTTAAAAACCCCTGTGCTAAAAAATGTAAAGCCATGCCAAATGAAACTTCAGAACCCAATAACTACAAAGTTGAAATTTTATGTATGAAGTTTTTCTCTACTGAGTTGTTTTTGCCAGTTGTGAATTTCTGAATGGCTTCTTAAATGAAATTATATTTTTAATACTGTGTAAGCTGACAAATTATACCTGTGGTACCTTAGCCTAGAGTCTTTCCTTACAACATGTTTAAACAAGAAAATGGTTCTTGTATAATGATTTAAGGGGCAATAGTTGTGTTCTGAGAAACTGGAAGAAAAGAGAGGGAATAGGCAGTTGAGCTGTCACATCCCGCAATGACATTATAGGCCAAAGTTGCTGTCATTAGTCATAACTGACTCCCTTTTAAAGCCCACCTCCGTTTTAGTTTGAGTACCCAGCGAGTAATCTGGAACTTGGAGCTACATGTGATTTTTGATCATTTACTGTGCCTAATGTAGGGTGGATATTGAAGGTTAATTATTGCATAACTTTTTCAAGGGAGGTAAATGGGGTATAGCCTGGAGTTTTGAGTAGTGATTGCTGGATATGCCAGATACTTCATCTTTAACATTAGGGTAGTTATGGGCTTCTTTTGGTTTGGCACTTCTGTGAAGGTTTTTGGGATTAAAGCTGTGCACATTTGTGCATTTGTGTGAGTTACCAGGATGGTGATTTCTGGGCTTTAGGAAGGGAATTTATTTGAAAATATGGGGACATTTGTAAGTGGCCCGGTAGAGCAGGATCTCTTCTGAAACACGAGTGCTTTGTGGGTGGTTGACTCTACTTTAGGTTCAGAGATTGCTGTTAGCTTTTTAGTGTATCTTAGTCCCAGATTGATATTTCAGATGTAAACAACTCCTTGTTCCAGTTTCTAATTCAAGCGAGCACCCTCTTTGCTCCTGTCGTCATCTGCCTCCTTTGCTGTCTCGCCTATGAGGCTGTGAAAAAAAGTAGTTTTGTAGAATGTAAGTAAATAATCGTGCAGTTAGGATGTGTATCATGCTGCATAAATCTAGGTTATCTTAATAACGACTTTTAGGCAACATAGCTAAAGTAGTGGTCTCAGTGATTCAAATGGTAATTGACTGTGCAGCTAAAAAATTAAACTCAACTGCTCCGTGTTTGTGATGATGACTATTGCAAAAGCTGGCATTGTTCCCTTAAAAGATGAAGTCCCAGCTTTACAGCCCCAACGTGCAGCAGTGCATAAAAACTGCTTAATATCTATTTTTTTGTAGTGAAGTGTGTAAGAAATGTCTTTATACACTTAATTCTGCCTTTGTGGAGCTGTAGTATAATAGCTTTTAATTACATGATTAACTTTCCTAGAGGCCTATCCTTAATTCGTTGCATTGCCTGGGAATATATTAGGCTAGAATTGAAGCAGTTGTGTATTTTCTATTCTTTAATTTCTTGTGTGGGTGAGTTAAAGAAGTAATGTCCTTTTTTGTATACTACAATTTAGAGGAGGGAAATGCTAAATCTCATTGAAATGAAATTAATATTGTCTAATTGAGGCTTGTTGGTTGAGAAATGGTTTATTAGGATGGCCTTATGTCTTGTTTTGCTGCTTGCCTTTATCTTCTTTTGGATTGTCACCTCCCACCCCCAGACTGAAGTTTGATAAATTCATACAAATCCTAGTTTTTGTAGCTTATGATTTATAAAGCTTTTTACTGTGACATATTTGTCCTTCAGTCTGATAGCTATTTTAAATTCCCTTGTCTCTGAAAGTTTTTCAGACTTGCAAGAAGTTGAGACTGAGCCATTTTTCACTTCCTGTCAGTAAATATCAAAGTAGTGACGCTCTGTGCTGATTTCTTTTTACTGAATAAAATTCTTGTATTTTGCTGTGGGTGTTTGAGGTTAGGATATGCTTAAGTACACATCAGTGCTTCTTTAATGGAGATCCTGTAAAGTGTGGTAGTGTGCTGAGAACATGTACCAGGGAGGTCCTGTACTCTGCCTTGGAATTCCAAGTTGGTGTTGAATTTGGTTTGTGCGTTAAAATCGGTAAATTTGTCACTTGGAAATCTGAAACAGAGGTGTGACAGTCAAGCTTCTGGTATACGTTGCCTCCTACTGAGAAGGCTCACTCAACAGGTGTGTTACCTTGAGGACAGCTGCTCAGCCTCTCATGTACAGTTGTCCTTTGCCACTGGTGCAGCTCTTGGCCCCAGGCTGCTGTGTGTTGCTGCAGCTAGTTGGGATGCCTGAGTAGGTAAGATAAGATGGGATGCGGGTTCTTCCAAAGCATGAGCAGAAACAAAAAGCCTTCTCAACTGGACCTCTGCATGTTTTCCTCTCTAGAAGCTTGTTGAGATTGTAGCATTTTGTTCAGTGCTGTAGACCTGGACTTGAGTAATAAGGAGTTGAGGCCCAGTCTTTGACTCCTCAGCTGAAGAGTTCCTTCTACCAAATTTTATATGAATAATACAGTGTGCTGTTGGATCATTTGTTATGCTCCTGTTTGCTCTTGGCTTTTTCTTAATGGGAAAGGTAGCTTTTTTGTGTTCTGTAATATCGTCAGCTGTTTTAGAAGGATTTGCAGCTCTTCCCAACAAGCTCATGTTTCCTTTGCTATCTGCGTGCTTTCCCGTCTTTATTTGTGATTCCAAACCATGTTGAAATGGAAGTTTTAAGGCATTTTCTTCTTGGTCTTTGTCAGAACAAGCTCTTTTGTAGAGTAGACTTCGTATTCTTTCATGCTCTCTGTTACCATTTTTGTATTTATGCAGTGAGGTTTATGAGGTTGATACCATGTGTGTGTTGGTTTTTTTTTTTTAAAAAAAAAAGGTGCCTGCTGATGATGTAGATTGTGTGGGTTGTTACCAATCTTCTTGACCCTATTAGCTGTTTAGCAAAGTCTGCATATGGCTGAGAGCTCCAGGACAGAGCTCATACTTGTCACAGATGAAGGGAGAGACTCTTGCTCAGGGAATACTTCCCAAATGCAGTACAGTAAGCAGGTCCGAAAGCCCTGCTATGGGATGGAAGTGAGCTGAGCATGTAGCTGGTTCCTGAGGCAACCTGGCAATATCACATTCAAGCATCTTCTGATTTACTATGTGCTGTGGGAATTTGAGTTCCCCTCCAGACCTGTTGTCAGCCCCATGACCTCACCTGGATAGGTCTGCCTCCTGAATGTGAAGGAGCTGCAGTTTGTTGCTCCTTGTGTAGGTTGCTGCATTTAAATTAAAAGCTGAAAGATTGAAAAACAAAAAGAGAAAAAAGAAGGGAAAAAAAAAGAGCTGAAATATTGAGCATTAAGGGGTTAAATGCATTTCTTCCAAATCATAGAATGTTCCTGTCAGCCACATCTGAATTGGTCGTCTTTCGTGTTCTTTAAGGCACAGATGGTAAGAGTTGGCAAGTGCAGCTAGCTGGCTACAGGGAATCCTCGTTTGCTCTGAAGAACTTTCTTCTTGTTCGTTTCCTCCATACTTCCTGATTATCCAGACTCATAGAAAAATAGTAAACTTATTTTGCATTTCATGCTGGCTAATGGAAATGCTGCCTATTAAAAAAAAAGAAGTGTTCCTGTGTACAAGCTAAATAGTATATATGCTAGGAAACATCTAGATTTGGCTGGGTATGTTTTCCTATGTCTTTTTTTTTTTTTGTAGGGATACTGTCAAGAAAATGGCTCTAATAAGAGCTTGGCCGTTTGTCAGGACTCTTAAATCTGTTTGAGGATGGACTGTGGACACTTCTCGTAACACTTCCCCTGTAGCTTCAGGCTGTCAAGCTGTTAAACAGCAAAAACAGTTCTTTTTTTCTTGTTTAAGCTGGAGTTAAAGGGCTTGAGGTTAGCACGCTAACATTTCATAGCTGGTAGGGCCAGATGCATTGCTAGACCATGTTGCATAGTTACTGAAGTCAGAGTTCCTGAAAATCGCAGACGAATTGAGACAACAAAGCAACTTTCAGAGACTTAAAAGTCACATTGTTACTCTGCTCTTTGGTGTCGCTATCACATGGGACTTAGCATTTGACAGCTTGGCCACCCCATGCTAGAGGCTGGTTTCCTCGGCACTGCAGCTCTTTGCAGCCAGGAGGGTGATGGGTGATGCATAGTGGAGCAAAACTGACAGCAGCTTGCGTGTGAATGAGGAGTGGGCTGTTCAGGAGTGGATTAAAGCAAGCACATGCCTTGCTTGCCTGAACTGGAAGTGAAAATTTGCACTCCTGACAGTTGTGACGCTTTTTTTCAGGCCATAGATGCACCAGTTTAAATCTGCTCTTTGTTAAATAAGATACATGTTTGGAAGCTGAAAACTGAGGCTCAGGAAAAATGGACCGTTGTCCTTTTATTTGGAGGTGTAAGGTTCAGGTTTTGCAGTAGGTTTTTTAGCTCAAAAGCATGACTTGAACAAAAGCGTGACTTGAACAGTGACCATCATTCATAGCTTCAGGAACACTCAGCTTGTTTTAAATTTCCCTTTTAAAGAAAGATGACGTTAAATGCCTGGTGGATCTTCCTGAAGCCTTTGAATGTGAAGGGCTAATAGTTGTAGGGTTGTTTTTTATTTGCATTTTGATTTAAAATCTGTTCATCAATGTTGGGTTCAAAAAGTAAAGCTGTATGTAAATTCTTAAGCGCTGCATGCTTTAGCATGCTTATAAAGTAGGAAGATTAGGTCATTTGCTTTCTGTTCTTCTGTTATGGCTGTCTTCATGAGCAGAGAAAGGATAAGAGGTTAAACACTTTGAAATAGGGCTTCATAAAATTACTTAGAAATTCTAATGACTCAAGTTCTAGATACTAATTTAAAATGTTGATCATTGCAGGAAGGGCTATAGCTGTCTATTTTTGCAACTTTCTTGTGGATGTTTAAGAACTTAAGAATTGGTAAATATTTTGATATGCTTTTTGGCCCCCTTCCATTATTAGGATGAAGGTTGAATTTGTGAGCAGAATCAGTTATAGGACCAACACAAGTAATTTTCTTTTATATCTACATGTATGTAAAATTTAAAGTGTATACTGCATATTCTTTAATTTGATCTTGGCGTAATGTGAATATATAGACAGCTGTTTTTGAAAGCAATTATAATTGCTGATTTGCATAATGATACAGGATTTTTCTCTTAGCAACTGGAAAGACTATCATCTTTAGCATGTGGGAATGATTTCAGGCTCTAAGAACAGTGTTTTGTTAAATCTGTGAACAGCATTACAGCAAAACATTTCTGAAGTGGCGTATGGATTATTTGCTTTGGTATGTGTTCAATACTGATGAAGCATAATTTTTTCATTGTGGCATTTGGTAACTTAGGAAATTATTGGGTGCTTTCATTTTAAGGTTCCTTTGGTATAGTGTAGTGTCATCATTGTTCATTTGAGAGATGAAGTTTTGTAGTTAGTAGTAAGTATGAATTTGAGTAGAAGACGGTGTTTTAGTGTTTTGATGTTGTGTTTTGTGCGTCTGTCTCGTGTTGTTTTTTTTTTTTATCGCTAACTAAAATGCCAGCCTCCAAGTTTGCAAGATGGAGAAAGGAAAGAGGGCTTTAAAAAAAAACTGTTGAAACCATTTTTGGGAATGAGTTTCTTAGGAAAGAGCTGCTTCAGAAAAAGGTGGCAGGGTTTATTTTATGTTTTTTATAAAGTCCAAATTTTAGTAGTTACAGCTGTTTGGTCAACTTTGCTTTGCATTTGTTATAGAACTGCCTCAATAAATAGCTGAGGCTTTTCCATTTTCATTTGCCTGTCTAGAAAAAAAAAGCATGGAATTGATAATGAACTTGTTGCATGTTTTAAATCATCAGTTCTTCCAGATTTCTAAAATTATTAGTATCATTACCCATTTCATAATGACTCAGAATTGTTGCTTTGAATGTACGCCCAGCTTCCAAGCTCCCTTGTGAGATATCTTGTCTTAGTAGCAAATATCTTAATTTCAGGTTTGGAAATCAATGTTAAATTAACTGAGGTGTGAAAAGCAGTGTCTCTGAACTGTTGAGCATGGCTGGTGATAGAAGAACTTGCTGAAGATGATGCTTAGTGGTCGGTTGCTCCTGTAACTGACTTGGCTCCACAACCTTCCATGCACTGATGACAAGCTGTCCCTGAGAAGGAGCGTTTTGTTCCCCAGCATCAGTAAAAAAGCAAGGTAATACTGATGCAGTGACAACCATCCCGTTCAGTTGCTGCAGATATTGGGACATCTTTTGGCTGGAGAGGAAAGGGTGGAAGAGCTTGCTTTTTATGGCAGCTTTTTCAATTAAGTGGTGAAACTGCTGTTTCTGCTGAGAGTCTTAGGTCATCTGTTCAAACAGCAAAGCACTTCCATTCTGTTCTTCCATCTTACATTGCTCCTTAAAGCAAAAGGCATTTTTCAGTTGCTTGAACCTGCGAAAGAGTTTCAAAGCAACATGCTTCTTCAGCATGCTTGTCAGAAGCATGTACTAAAAAGCCACAAAATGATCTTCACCAGCAATACAAATGTATTTGTCATAGTTGCCGCTTGCTTTCATTCAGTGCAGTTGAAGCCTGCAACCTCGCGCGCGTGCCCTGGAAGGGTGTCATTTTCTCACTGTGGCCTGTGTCCTTTAACACCAGATCTGTTGCAGGCAGAATGAGTCAGCAGTGGTGTGTGTGAATTGCATTCCAGTGTAATACTTCAGGATAATGAGTAAGGTACTTCAGGATGCTTATATTTAGGTGAGGGAGAAGTTGGCTTGCCTGTTTAAAAAAACAATAATGTTTTCTAAAAACAGCCTTCGCCCCCCACTTCCCCAGCTCACTGTTGGATGTTTGTTTTTCAGCAACACTTCAGTTTTTGTGCTGTCAGGTTGCAAAACTCCAGAGCATACGACACTTTTGTTCAATCTGGATCAGGAAATTGATTCATACTATTCCCTCCCTGCCCCCATTTAAAGTCTTCTTCCATTTTCTTTACTTACTGTTGTATTGTGGAATGTCGTTTGCAATATCAGATCTGGTTTAAGAATACACCTGTAACAATGCATGGTTAAGCTTACGCATTCAGTTCTGCTGGCTTGCTCCTATTTAAAAGAAGAAATGCATGCCAGCTGTGTGTACTGCTTGGGCATCGCCCTTGAGGAGCGAGGGAGGGGAGAGGGATCACATGAGATGTGAGAGCCGAGAGGGGATCACGCTTTCCAAAAGCTTGAGACTGCCCCGGTTATTTTGGAAATTTTTATCTCTCTCTGCCTGCATGTTTTCAGGCTTTGGTGTTTGGACAAGTCTGTGAGCCTGCAAACTGGAAACTCTGCTGTTAAGATGATGTTCTGTTGCCTTCGCTTGGTGTGTCTGTCTACTTCGCTTCCATCTTGCACCAGCTGGGAATCCTGGAAAGCATCTCATTTCTTAGCCTCGTGGAGAGGAGAAGGCAACAGCAGAAGAAAAGCATCTGAACATAAAGCACGGGCTGAATGTGTGAGAAAAACGTGTAGTAGAGCTCACGATTGTGAATAGAAATTTGAACAAGTTATGTGGCAATTTGGGGAAGTTTGGGCATCTGTCTCATGGGTGATACTATAGTTGAAACTGAGTTTTGTTTTGATGTGGTGTGTCAAAATGAATTTTTTTTACCCCTGATGCTAGCATGAATGCTTGTCTTCTATGGAAAAATGCTGTGGAAAGCAGGCTAATATACTGGATTATTTTGCTGTGGTAATTTAGGCCTCCTGCTCAGAGCAGGACACAAAAGGAGGTGCTTTTGAGTATAAATGCTAGAACTGGCAGTAGGTAGAAATTAGGTTAAAATCGGGAGCAAGGAGGGAGTGATGGGTGTGCTAGCTGGAAGTCAGGTAATTCACTGGTAATAGGCATAGTGCAGGTGCACATGATGTGTAACCAGTTTCTTTTGCTTATGGCAGGTAGTAACTGATAAAGTAGTAAATACATTGCTAATTATATAGTGCCTTTTGTTAATTTAAGAGGTGTGGACTGCTTGCGGAGTAAAATACATTCAGAGTGAAGTTCAAAGTTTGAAATTTATGTGATTTGATAGTATCTGAAGTTACCACAAGCTCTGGAAGTTAAGCATTTTAAAGGGTGATTTTTTTTTCAAGACCAGTTTTCTTGGGGGGATTTGGGCAAGTACAGAGTAGAGTGGAAACCAGGCATGAAATGTTTTCGCTGTCTGTATTTGAGGCAGCTACAGATATTTATTTGGATTTCTCAAAAGCTTTCATATTTTAAATCACCTTTTGAATAGTCCAAGCAGACCAATGTCTATTTGGATTACAATGTAGTAAATGCTAATTGTTTTTTTGAGAGTAGAAAATATTTTTTCTGTGTATTCAGTTCTTAGTGGTTTTTTTCAGTCTTCTAGTTAACTGTGTAAATGCAGAACTTGGTCCATGCTGCTTACCTGTGAGTACTTAAGCTTGTGGGAATTCTGCAAGAATGGAATAAAGTAGTTTGTATCCTACTTCTGGCTTTTCTTTGTGTACAAGTAACTGGAATATGGAAGCTGTTGCAGTGTCTTCCATTCTGATGATTACTCTTTGGAGCTTTGTTGTATTTTAACTATAAAACCAAAAATTATTCTTACAGTTGTGGAATAATTTAGGTAGAAGGGGACCTGTGGAAATCACCTGTTTCAGCCCCTTGTTTAAAGCAGGGCCAACTTCAAACATAACCATGCTTTGTTCTTACTCCTCCTATAATTAGTTAGAGGAGGAGTATGTTAACGCAGTAGGGTATGGTCTGTTTTTGAGCTGCTGGTTTCATTTCTGCTTTGCTTTTCAGTGAAGCATCTTCACTGCGTTGTAATTTCTAATGATGTTTAAAACTTGGGAGTACTTTGTTTTCTTGAGTTCGGTTTTAAAAAAATAAAATTCATATATCGTTACACCACCAGGAAAATAAATACCAGTAATTTTCTAGCAATTTGTTGTAAATTCTTTACTGTATCGGCTCTAGATGTAAGCTTACAGTTTTCTTATTTGGCCTTTCCTTAGCGCTAGTTTTTTTTGCTAAGAGGTACTTTTCCTAAGTTTTTTATCTCAGGTTGCTTTTGGCAAGTGAATTGTAGGTAGTTCAGAATAAGAAACTAGAATATTTTTGCAGAAGTGGGGAATCGGTTTTTTAATAAACGAGATAATCCTTTTCAGATCTGTATGTTCCCATCTACTACAATATCTTACATTTAGGCATTCAGAGTTTCCTTAGCAGCTGCAGTTGTGGTTTGTTGTGTAGCAATCGTTGAAAGTGGTAAAAACATTAGTATTTATGTAGCTTTTCCAGGGCTTGCATGCCTGAAACGTGCTGCTTTGTTTGCTTTGCTGGTTTGCGTGGTATACCTATTTTGACATCACTGTAGACTCGAACAGGGTTTTTAATTTGGAACATCTTGCAGTTTATTCATATGACTATTTTAATAGTTTTCCACTGGATTTAATAAACCACTCAAAGTGTAGAGAAAGACCAGTATGTAGCATCTATGTGATTCTAGTGAGATTGTGTATGATATAGTGGGTTATTTGACTCTGCTTTTCTGGTGGATTGCCTTCCTCGTGGGTGTTAACCATCAGCTGCTTAATAGCATAGATTTGTAATAAGTTATCTGTTTGATAGGTAAGGAGTTTTCTGTTACAGGGGCTATGATCAATGTACTGTTTTCAGAAGTCTCCTGATTCCCCCACACCACCACCTTTTTCGCAGCTTTTTTTTTTAAAAGATCCCTTATTATTATGTATCTAGAGCTGAATTGTTCGCTGTGAGAGGTGGTCGGCGTTGTTGCTCTGGCTTTGATACAGTTAACCATTTGATTCATGTCCATTTAATGTTACTGTAGAAATTTCATGTGCTTTACAAATGTTTCCGTAACTTGCATATTCAGATATTTATCCAAACATAATTGCTATGGGTTTTCCTGCGGAGAGGCTTGAAGGAGTATACAGGAACAACATTGATGATGTAGTAAGGTAAGGCTTGCTTTTTCTTTTCCTTAACTTATTCTTGTAAAACGTATCCTTTTCTACATTCATTTATGTTCTGCTAAGGAAAGTATGTGTGCTCTGACTCATAGAAGTGGCAAGATTTTTACATCTTGTAGATGTTGCCGGGTTAGCTCTCCTGAAAAATGTTGGAAACAGCAAAAATGATATTTTCAAGAATTTTAAGCCAGGCTGCTGTTCTAGGTTGGTCTCAAATTCGTGTAATGTGCTTTTTAGTATGAAAACTGACTTCAGTAAATTGTGTTGGAGTAAAAGGAGGTTCTTTGCTTTTAGAAAGATGTCAGTGCATGCCTCTGTTCAGTGTTGAGAGTTTCCTCAGATAGCTGATGGCATTTCAGAATGTGCTTGCCCATATTCTTTCTTCGATTAATAGATGAAGTGCTTGATAAGTTAATTTTGATTTAAAGTAGTAAATACAGGTGACTTTAGATAAAGCCTTTTACATCTGGCTGTGTTCGAGAATTATGGACAAGGAGAAAAATCGGCTAAAATTCGTTATTGCTGGTGGTGCTTTATAGCACATTTTGTGAAAAAAAACCCACAGGCTGTCATTTTTAATATCAAATAAAGTTATCTATTCTGAACGGCTGGATACAGCTGTGGAACATGTACTTAATGTTATAGGAGCATCGGTGTAATTTGTTTAGTTGACACTGCAGAATGCAGTGTGAGAGCTTGCATTAAAAACTAAATACTTGGCAGAAGCTGCCAAGTGTTAGTGTTTTTAGATCTTAAGTTCTAATTTGTTTAAGTCGTGTATGATGCTTTTGAGATCTTGGTTATTTGAGGTCATAAGTTCAGTAGCTCTCCAAGAGACTTGATGTTGGGGATGAGGGGATAATGCAGTAAGGAGCATGGTTATGCGTTGAAGTTAGGTGACCTGTCTGGGCAAGAAGGTGCTGCTCCAAGGTTTGAGATGCCACAAAGTTTCTCATCTTTGTTGGCAGGCAGAATTAGCACTGCTTGAATTTCAGTGGCAACTGTTTGCATCCAGGTTTGTACTGAAATGAGTTGAGACAGCTCTGCAGCTCCCACACTGGGAGGAATCATAACCCTCAACTGAGAATCAGTCGTCTGGAGGCAGTGACTTCCCTGCGCAGCTGCAGTTATCTTCAGATGAGTTTGATGGGGGTTCATTTTTGCATATTTAACTGTTGTGATGAAGCTTGCTATCCACAAATAGTACTGAAAATGTCAGAGGCTGGATTTGACAAGGCTTGCAGAAGTGACCTGGTTATGTCACGTGGTAGCGAGAAGTAGCTTTTCCAGAGGTGGTCATATCGGTGAGGTTCAGCACAGCAATCCGTAAATACAATTGCAGAGTGTGTATGTCTTTGCTAGAATTGTTAACAGAGGTGTGAAGTTGTGTTTTCTAATGATGTCATTGCACACAGCTTGCACACAAGAAAAAGCTTTTGCTGTCTTTTTGGGACAGTTGAGGGCTGTCCCACAAACTCAAGACTATCTAGCCATCTTTCTTTACCAGCAGTTAGAGCCACCTTTTCATTAAGTTGATGTGGGCATTGCATCTGCTATGTGAAATACATGGTCCCTGAGGAACTCCACCTTAGGAAATTGTAGGATAGGGGCAAAGGCTGGACTTGGAGTAAATGACATGGGAATAATCCAAATAAATAGTAATAGGCAGTAGTCTTTGAAGGCCCTCTTCCATTCACAGCAATAATTTCAGTCGCTTCTGTGTGAAGGAAAATACGTTCTATTGGTTAAATATGTAGATATGTGTAAATTAGACTTTTGAAAGGGAATGACTATATAATTATTAAGTTGTCCATAAACACTGTGATCAAAAGGAGTACTGATCACCTAAAAATGTAATCAACCAAATTAAGATACAGATACATGTAAATTAAGTAGCTGTAGGAACTGGATGCTAAAGTAGTGTTATGTTTGTTGGCTCCTGTTTTAAAATGGGAATAATGCACAAAATAATGTGGTCATGCTGCATTCTGCATGTTGCAGTCGGCAGGTCCTCATCTGCTCCTGTTGTCTTTTTATTATGGAGTTTTTCTCCAAGAGCTTTTAATGCAGAAATTCAGTGTGTTTGAGCTCTGGAGCAATTGGTATTGAGCCAGGATACGCCAGTGGGATTTTTCTGAATAGCTGGTATCCTGACAAATTTAATGCGAATACTGTATGAAAAGTACGACCTGGACTGCTGGCTGTCTCCTGTGACTGACGCTTTGAGAGGTTTTGGATGGAATTTCGTCCTTAGAAGAATACTCTTATGAAAGCTTATACTCAGCTTTGTGGGTATTACTGGCAGAAGTGGAGTCAGCTCTCCTTGCTCTCCAGTGTGTTTTAAACAAGTGGGGACATCTCCTGAAACAAATCGCCATGTTCACCATCTTCCTTAATCTGACGAAGTCTGCCAACAGGGGCGCCAGTGGGAGCCATGAAATATTTTTGCCATGAAATTGGAATCTCATACTCCATGCTGTGCAAGGAGCATTCACATCTGTTCTTATTTTAATGCATCAGTTTAACCACAGAGTTCATCTAGGTTCTTCTGGAATATTATGACTGATAACCAGAGCTTGTTTTTGCTTGAGCTTTCCAGGATTTTAGCAGCTAGTATTTCTTTTCAATTTGAACAGCATGTTCTGTCATGGCTAATTAAATTCCTTCTGGCTGATGTGCAGATACATGCTGTTGATGATGTTAAGTGTAAACATTTGTATGTTATTTCTTCTTGAACATTGCCAGGTGACACATCATATGTAATCATGGCAATTTTGATGAATCATGTTTGCAGTTTGGCTCTCCGAGGCTTGTATGGGAAGTTTTTGTTACAAAGTGAGCATGAAAATGAAATGAGTGTGGAAATCAAGTATAGTGGTCTTGCTACTCCTTTCTGAACCCAGAATATCATAGAGCCCTGTCCTCAGACTTCAGTGGCAAATCATGGCCATTTGAAATAAATGATTCTGGCTGTTGTAACCAGAATATGGAAGTTATTTTAAATGCTTTTTTTCATTGGAAGCACCACTGTGGCAAAATATTTTGCATAGATGATTAAATTGGAAGTGTTATAGCTTGTGTAATCAATGCTTTCTGCTTTAAAAATAAACAACCCTTCCTCAGCTTAATATATTGATGTGTAGGTATCTTAGAAATCAGTGCACATTGGTACATACAATAAATATTTCATTTGCAGGCCAGATCTTGGTCTCCTCCATTGCGTAACTAGTCTTATTCATACTGCTGGATTATTTGTATGAGTGAGGTTTGCAACATGCTGCCTCCTTGACTTTGAGGCGCTGCAGGGCCAGCTGGGACTTGGCATGCTGGATGGTGCTTTAATGATGCTGCAAATTAAGGTCACTGTTATTGTAAAGTATATTAATACATGCCCTTTTTTTTTCCTATTTAAGGTTTTTGGATTCAAAGCATAAAAACCATTACAAGATATACAATCTGTAAGTATGCTCTTATAGATGTATTTTCCAAAATAATGAGTTCTAAAAATAGCTTACAAGCGAAAGTGGCTTGTTGTTGTACTGAAGCAGAGCTAGAGATGTTTTGCACATTTCTTAAAACAATTAAGCCTGATTGAGAGCACTGTTATTTCATTTAGTGGAGCTGAGTGAGGTTAAATGAAATGCTGGTGTATATTTGTATTACTTGAATGCTTTTAAATGACTTGGCATCTAGCCCATCTGGAGCTTATACCATGTGATTAAAAAGTGAAAAGTAATTCACAGCAGGCTTTCTGTTAATGTATTAGTGTCTGCAGTTAAGAAATTGCCAAATTAATATTTTCTGGTTTTTTCCTTTTTCTTTTTTTTTAAATCAAACTGTATTGGTACACAGGTTCTGTTTGCTTCCTCACTCTTCTTGACTGTCCCTGTTTATTACTTCAAAAAAGTTTTTGCAGCAGTTGGTAATGTGATGGTTTCTCACTTTTGTAAGTGCAATGTTTTCGTCTGAAAATCTAGTTACGCAGAAAGCTGTTCTTATTACAGAAGGGATTGTTGTTGTTGTTGTTGTTTTTCCTTGATCATCTTTATATGTTACCTTAGGCTAATTTCATTTATATAAATGATTTGGTGGTGTGACCTGATGTTGAAAAGTAGGTTTTGGTTTTCCTACACCTCATTTTTTCCCAGAAATCCAAGTTGAAGATTTATTGATTCCCTGAGCTGTTAAAGCTTTTTTTTTAATGAATATGCTTCTAAATATGTGCAATTAATGGAAAAAATATTGTACTATGGAAATCCAGGCAATAGATTACATTGTAATCTGTCATTAAATACAATTATTTAAATATACCTTCAAATTGATTGGAGAATTATGCATGAAGCAACTCTGTTTCCTGATGTTGGAGCAAAGTGATACCAGAAGTTGAGAAATTCTATACTGGTTATTGAATTTTTCTGTAGAGTCTGGGTTAGGATGGGGAAGACAAAGATATGTAAATAAAATCTGCGTTAAAATAAACTCACTGGACATCTTTCATATTGTTCAGTAGAACAAATAATTTTCTCCAGAAGGTTAGCCTTTTAATAAATGCTGCCTTGGTGGCACTTACAGGTAGAAAAGACAGGGCTTCCTGAACTAGCTGGTAGCTGCCTCTGTGTGTAGGTGCAGCTCTCTAAAGAGATAACTTTCTGGATATCTTCCTTTGAAGTCTTCTGGAGCTCAGCTCTAGAGATCTGTATCCTGTGAAACCACTGCTGTGGTTTACTAGGACCCCCCCCCCCCCAAAGCCTTTTGAGATCTTCTGCTTGGTTAGGGAAGAAAAGCAGAACAGGACAGATATAACTTAATTTCTTCCTGCTTCTTGGGGCAGAGTTCAGCTATCAGCTTCTGTGAAGTGTGGCCATGGTATGACATGATCAGGGTTTGCTGAGCTGCCTGATACTGAGTTTGTTGTTTCAAATTGGTTCGAGAGGTGACAGGTACAAATAATAGGTTGCTGTGTGTTAACTTCTAGGCTTTGTCAGAAGGTGAGAGTTCAGTAAGACTTCTATGCATCTTAGCAAGTAGGTCTTCAGGGAGGTGGTGCTTGAAAAGCTTCCACTTTGCTGTATGCTAGCAACCTCGTATTACTTTAGAAAAATGCAAAAACCAATCCCCAGCCCTACACAGCAACAACTTTGAAGTTTAGGTGAGAAGAGATGTGATGAGACAAATGTTTTTGATGTTTACGATGCTGATACCTGTATTTTCAACTATGCAAAGAACTTGTCCAGGTGTGCCAAAAGTTTTTGTCTTCAAGTCCTTTATATAAAATGTTAACTTTCAGTGCAAGAACCCTCCACATCGATTTTTCTTGTTGCTAATTTCAAAATGATCGCAAGTGAAACTTTCTAAAATTACTATATTCATCCTCAGATGAAAACTTTTGCAGGAGAAAATGTCCTTTTAAAATGTGTGAGTTTTCTTCCTCCCCAAAACATGGATCAGTTGCAAATGAAGATTCAAGTTATTATAGCTTAGAAAGCGTAGCTTTTAAACTGTGTATCTCTGGCTAGAGAGGCCATGTTATCTCTTAATCTTTACGCATGCAAAATTTACACGCATCTTAAGTACATAAATGCCATTGGGTGAATTGTTGCAGTGTTTGCTCATGAGATGAGAAGCTTTCGGCTTTCAGGTATTTCAGGGAACAGCATCTCTTTAGGTAAAGCTGATCCTTTGTAGATAGTCAATCTATGGCCTGTGTTTAAAAGGAGATGGTGGGAGTTCAGAGGAGTTGTGTGATTGTATTTAGAATCATTTCAAACACAGTCATAGGGTTTGAGTTCCCTTAAGGTAGCTGTTGCATGAAGTTGATAACTATGTATTGACCAGTTTTATTTAGAAGGATTTAGAGAGATTTTTCTGAACTGATGCTTAAATGATGTCATTTATGCCTCATCCTCCGATCTTGGCTTTTAAATTCCCAGTGAATGTTTGAGCAATCAATTTAGTTTTGGTGGTTTTTTTTCTCCTGTGTTCCTTTAACCCTTTGCTATTTCTTCAGTATTCTTCTTTATTTTAACATGTTCTTCCACTTCCATCTCAACTTCACGTACTGCCAAATTGTTACCTCCCCTATTGTAATAATGTTCATCTTCTACAGTATATTTCTTTTAACTGTTGCACAGGCAGATAGTTAAAGGAAGAAGCTGTAATGAATAATGTGGCTTTCATGTGCATACTTCCTGTACCTCTATATACATGGTGTTGGGCTTTGGCAGAGGCTGTCATCTTTCTGGTAGCCTGTAGTCCTGTTGTCAATAGGATGATGATCCTACTGATCATAATCAGATGATCAGGAAGGTGTCTGGCTGGCAGCACTTGGGATCTGGGATGCTTTAAACTCAGTTTAATCATCAGGAGGATTACAAGAACTGCACCAATGCGGTCTTCCCCCCGACTGATCCAAAAAATGTTCAGGTTTCCGCAGATCTGGCTGTATTACAGGTCTAATAGTGTTTTTGTTTTTGTTTTTGTTGTTTTTTTTTTTTAAGTGCATTTGAAATGCTAAGCAATAGAAGCATTTCACGACGTGTGTGTCTGTGGGATCTCTACTGCAGATACACATGTGTTTTGTGTAATGAAATGGAAGTATACTTTGTACGGCTGTGTCTACAGCTATGCATTTGCCGTATGTTGTGTACAGCTCCCATAAGAGGGCATAAAGAGTGACGTGGGTATGTTCTGTGCTCAGTTTCTATCCTTGGTATCAACAAAACTATTTTCTATCCCTTATGGTATTCTAGTTGATATTCTCTCAAACTTCAGAATTTGAAGGCTTTTTTGCCCATATGTGGATGTTTTTTTTTATTTTGAATGCTTTCATCTCTTACTACCCCTTTGAACTGGGTGTTTCTTTAAAAGGAAGAAGGATACTTCCTTGGATAAGCTGCTTTGTATTAACTGCTTTGCTTCCTAGCAGGCTCAACTTCCAAAGTTCAGATGCCAACTAGCTTGTAACGGGCTTTGCCCAGCACAGCTGATGGCCTCTCCAAGCATGGTGACTCCATCTTGGGTGCACATACTGCATCTAAACTTTCTTCTCAAAGGCTTGACTGCAGATAATGTTTTTTTGAGTCCCATCTGCCAGCTTAACCTGAGCGGCATCACTTCTGACCCAGAGAAAGTGTCAGCAATGTGGTCAGAGCTGTAAAAACTGCCAGACTTTTCCCTAGCAGAGGCTAGAGTCGAGAAGGCTCTAGAATTCAGAGAAAGGGAAGCGCTAAGTGCACGTGCAACCCCAGCAGACCTGCCTCTGTCCCTGGCGTATGAGTCTCATGGACAAAGCTCAGTGCAGCACACGTGAGGCTCCAGTTATGTACAAAGGTCACACAAGTAGGAGCCTAAAAGTTTGCATCTCTGAAAGTGTCAAATAAGCTCCATATTGCTTCAAAGGCTGCAGTTATACCTGTTAGGGAAAGGTAAGTTCATACCAGTCCTGAAACTGGTGTGGGTATTTCAACCCTATGAAGAGTACAGGTTATAATCAGAACAGAAGAGCTGCATGTGTTTTGTCTACTGAAATGACTCCCAATCATTGTGTTTTAATCTGGAGTCCTGTTGTTTTGAGGCAGGATTGTTCTTGTTTTCCGGCTGCAGAGAGCATTTCCAAGGAAGGTTATGGACGGCATCCACTTCTTGCATGCTTTTGCCTTATCTCCAACATCTGATCTAGCTTGTTCCCTTACAGCATGCCGTTTTGGCTGTATTAGAGCCCTACTGATTGGATTGTTTATATCTGGTTACTGGTGTTTGTCCCTAGGCAAGTCATCCTGCAAGACTAATACAATGTGGTTTGTTATGCTACTAGCTGTCTAGAGTGGATCACTTAGAATGATGAGATAGACATTGATGCAACTCCAGTCTTCAGAAATGTGCTGTTTTCCAGGGTCTGTAAGGGGAAAACTGGCTAACTGGCCTTTTAGTGTTTTTGAGTTAACCTAATTTCAAGAACAAAAGCAAAGTTGAAGATTAGCATCATAATCTCTGCTTGATACAAGTGATCTCCATTATAATATTCAGTGATGCTTTCAGTTGCCTGTGGTGGCCTTGTTGTGGTACTGTAATTGGAGGAAGAATGCTTGCTCAGGTTGGATTAGCCCAGGGTCTTTGAAATGTCCTTGTGATCCCCCTCACCCCTAGCACAGATGTTGCTGAGGTATCTTGACATGTGTTTTGAGTATCAGTCAACTGGATGAAGGTCATAGCCATCTACTCTCTATGTGTTTGTGTGGGAGCATAAAGCTGCTTGAGTGGCTGGAGCTGTTAATACTACAGTGTTTAATAGTGTACCGCATTACTTGTGTGAATGTCTCCGTTGAGTCACACTAACTACAACATTCTGATGGACCACAGTTACCATAGCGTAATTGTTTTTCAGTAAAATAACTGATATTCTAGTGAGCAACTTTATACATCTGCAGCACAACAGTTTTTCTGTGTATAACCTCTAGCTGTATTTTTAATACTAAAGGTGATGGGTATACATGATTTTTCCATATGCTGATCTGTATGTTCCAACAGAACAGATGTTCGGAGTGCCTCAGAAACTAGTCTTGAACTTTTGTCTATTTTTCTTTTTTAGATGTGCTGAAAGACATTACGACACCGCCAAATTTAACTGCAGAGGTACGTTTTTACTGTCAAGTGTGTGGTGTTCTCTTTAAACATCAGTGTTTCTGGATGAAGGTATAGAGGATGAGCTGATGAATAGTGATGTAGGAGATCTGGACGCAAGGGATGACATCAGACTTTTGCAGAATAGGTTATATAGAAATTTCTGTTCAATTCAGTGTGCAAACTTACTTGTAAAATTTAGATGTGAAGCTTAGAGATGTCTAGTTTTTATGCAAAAGCATCACTTAGAATACAAATGGAGAACACTGAAGCCACTGTGACTGTTCATATAAAACAACGTTTTGAAGATCTGGTACTAACCTTCAGTTGCTTTTTAAAAAAAAAAGATACCTCTTAGATACAGGTTGGTTCTTAGACACTTTGCAGAGCTACCAGAGAAAGAGTGGGGGAACTTTTAGGGGCTCCTTTCGATCATACCCTTGGTCAGTGGAAACTGATGTACCTGTTTTTGTCAGTATTAACTCTCCAGATAACAAATAAATACAGATTTACCTTTATTCTTTGTGCAGAGGAACATCTCTGTGCACAGTATTAGAGCTTGTCATTCTTCTTCATGCAGTGCTTCAGAATGGCTGGGTAGATAAGGAGTACTCGTGCGTATATAGTTGTAAGAGATGAATAAATTTTGGCCTTGCTGGCTAATACTACCTCATAGCAAGGGCTAAACCACTTGTATTACTATTTTTATTATTATTTTAAACCATCCCTCTGGTTGTAAAGAGGATGTGTAGAACATGACCAAAATCTATTTGACTGCTTTAATGTCTGCATATAGAAGGACTGAAATTTTCATTTTGAATTCATCTTCGCATCTGATTTTCTCTTGCAATGTTGAATGACAGTTTCCTGAAACCTCACTCAATACACCTAAGCCAGAAAAACAGTATTTTAAGATGTGCTTGAGCAGTACTTTGGGTAAGATGAGAAAAGCCCTAAATGAAAAGCACTGCTTATATTATGTCCAGAAGATATGCTTGCTTTAATTTATGCTTTCTATTACAGGGCTGTTCAGATCCCTTCACTGTCAATTCCAGCCCAAAATGTTGTTTGTGGCAGCACTTTTCACAGCTCCTCTGCATGAGACAACACTCTTTTAGGGAGCTACATGGTGCATTTTGTTTCTTTTCATCCCCAAATTAGTTGCCTTAGATTATGAAATTGGTGACTCAGGACTTCCCTTAGCAGTGGAAAACCAGTTCTACTTTAAAATCTTTGGAAGCTAATTAATTTCTAAAGGAACTTCTCATTTGTATACTTGGCATGAAACACTGTAGTAGTTCAGTAGTTAACTTGGATGCTTTTGCATCCAATTCAAAACCAAAAGTTGAAAGCTCTTCATCTTCTTTGGACACTAGCCTTCTGTCTAGGGTTTTTGCAGTTTCTGAAGTACTTCCATGCTGGAAATTGCTTTCTACTTTGCCACAGGCTTTCCTTTTTATTTTTTTCGATGCTTTATGTGCTATGGCATTTATCTTGCAACATCTAGGAGCTTGGAGAGAGTAATCGGAACTGTTCTCCATGCTGTGTGCTCCACTGTTACAAACCAAAAATCTATGGAGGACCTGCACTTTCTAAGCTCAAGATTGTGTAGCTTAATATTTCTTAAGGTTGCTTTCTGACTCTTAATTCCTCTGCACCATCACAGGGCACACATTTCATCTACTCCTCATGCCATCTTTGAAGAAAACACTGCAAGGTTTGCCTTTGATCCCAAATCTTCGAGAGCATTTTCAGGATGCTGTTACTACTTGGGATTTTTCAGGCTATTGTTTCAGGACTACTTTGTCTCCCCTTTTCTTGGGAACCTCATTGGATGTACTTAAGATAGACTCAAAGTTATACAGACAAATGTGCAGTATCTTCTTACAGCTGCTTTTTGTAGGGGTTTCTAAATAAATTGCTCCTTTCATTTTCATCTGCTGCAAAAAGGGACATCTCTGTAAGCTAACATAAACCAAACATTTGGGAAGTCTTTGGATCTTCCTTGTGGAAGAATTTATTAGTGTGTGTTCATGTTTGTTAACATTTGTTGCTTCTTTACCGAAGATTATTCACTTTATTGGGCTTCCCTATTTGGTCTCCTGGGAGATTAAGTGGGCGGTCTGTACCGTGAGTGAATAAACTGTCCTTGCAGATCCCTCCGAAAGGCTTTGGACTTGTGCTGCAGTGCTTTAGCAGTTCCATAACTTCATCCCTCACTTCTGCTCCTTAAGTCCTTGGGGATTCATCAAAAGGAGCCTTGCATGTGTGACAAGAGGGTAGTATTTACAAAATGAATACAAACACTTGTACAAATGTATTCATTTTTAGACCAGAAAAGGAAATGGTGTTTCTAGCTGAGAATTTTTAAATGAACCAGACTTGTATTTGTGAGATCCCAAGTCTGTCGATGAAGAACGGGGGTGCACTTCATCAAGTGCTGTTCTCTTGATGAAACTGGTACAGCCCTATGTAATTCTGCCAGTCAGCATGGCGTTGTCAGCTTATCTGAGGTGTTAGAGGTTTGGGTGTTTTTCTTTGCTTGTTGCTTATTTTTTGCTCTTGAGTTTTCTTTCATTTCCTGCATGCTTGCTTGAAATTCTTTCCATCTCTAGATGGAAAAAGTGTGTGCATATATATCCATACAAGAAAAAGGACAACTTCATTTTGTGGCTTGACTTTAAAACCGATAAGTATCGAAAGTGCCTTACATGAGATTTCTTTTTTAGTTACTGTTTTTTTAGTATGGCAATTGCAGGTTTTTGTTTTAAAACCCCTCTGAGCAAATCCTGAGAGTTTGTTCCCAACATAAACCCAACTGTGCTCAGAGTTTTTCAGCAAAATTCGTATTGTCTGATCAGTGTTTGAGTTGTGGCCCTATTTTCTCTTGGCAGGTAGTCTAATTATTGCTGGAGTAATGGGTTTTCACAAGGTTGTTCTTTGTGCCACTGCACTCTTAAGTTCTAGAAAATTCGTGATGTAAGATACCGAGTCTGTGTCACTCATTTCAGTAGCGATGTGAAATAGTCTTTTCATGTAACAGGATGCTTGCTTATCTATTACTAGAGAAATGTCTGCAATGCATATAATATGCAGTACATTGCTGAATAATATTGGAATAAAAAAAAATTACATATCTATATTTAAGATGAGGGTTTATTTAGAAAGTTAATTTTTTGCATGCTTGTCACAAAGTTGACCTGTCTAGTTGAGCTTGCTGTAATTTCCTTCTGAGATTTTGATAAACTACTACTTCTCATTGCAGTTGCACAGTACCCTTTTGAAGACCATAACCCACCACAGCTAGAGCTTATCAAACCTTTTTGTGAGGATCTTGACCAATGGCTAAGTGAAGATGACAATCATGTTGCAGCAATCCACTGTAAAGCTGGAAAGGGACGAACTGGTGTAATGATATGTGCATATTTGTTGCATCGAGGCAAGTTTTTAAAGGCTCAAGAAGCCCTAGATTTCTATGGGGAAGTAAGGACCAGAGACAAGAAGGTGAGCTATTTTCTGTTTTTCTGTTCTCCCACCTGTATCTTTATGCTTTTCCTGCTTGAGGTCAATTTGAATAGTCAAGGACTTTAAGAAACGCTTTCTATCAGTTGTGATAACTGGTTTGATTTAACTTTAACATTATTGGATCAGTGCCGTTCTGAATGAAAAAGCTTTCCTAAGCAGCAGTAGCAAATAGTCACAACACTAAAACAGTCTGTTTTTTCCATCTCCTGTTCAAGAAGATCTGTACAGTTTATTTTAAATAGCATTCTGCTGTGCGTTGCATCAAATGGGCAGTTGATGAGTGAACTTTCTCATTCAGCACTTTCAGCCCAAATAAGAGGATTATTCTAGCTTGTTTTGCCTGAATGGATGAGTTGTTCATCTCCTCAGGTTCTTTTAACTTCTGTGATGGTGTTTGGAGATGTGTAGTCATTACAGTGCGTGTTACAGTTGAATATCCCTATTGGAAGAGTGTACTGGAAGAGCCTGTTGTTGGATGCCGCTTTTCAATAAAAGGGTACTTAAGCCCAGACATTGCCTGCCTCAGAGCCTACTTCATGAGGTGCTACCATTTAGTTTCTTGTACTGCTGGAGAGAAATGGGAGGATCTCATTTCAGAGAAATGATGATTGTGGCTACAAGTGCTTTCTGTTAAGACCTCGTTAGTGGTACAGACAGGCTTAGGCAGTAGCTGTATGTTGGACCTTTCTGGCATAGGTTATGCTACATTAATGGGAATTTAACCTCCTTATTTGAAATCTCCAAATACAATAAGGTGTGACTTGCAAGGTCACTTCAGCAAGCTTCCCTGTTCATCTTCCATTATTTCCTTGTGTAGGTAGAGCAGCCCAGGGGGGTCATCCTGGCAGGCCAGTTTCAGCCTACTCAAGTATAGACCTCTCTGTGTTCCTGTAATATTTGCATGAAGTATTAATTTCACAGTGTATAGACCTCCAATAAGCAGAGCTTCATGTTTGAAGGCTCTTGGGAGCAGAAGTGTCACATAAGGAATTTTAGAATTTGGCTGTTAATTCATTGGAAGGGGCAAATGACTTCTTAGTTTGCTCTCTTTACAAGATGGAGCTGTTATTCCATGTACTGCTGCGAAGATAGTTGTGATGTAATACTAGAATGGAGACAGTGTCCAGGTTTCCCATCAAAACTTCGTGGCTTTTGGTAAGAGTGCGTGATAGCGAATACGAGTGAGCTGTGTGATGAACAAAGAGTGTAGATTGCTCCTGCTGATAAAGATTGTCAAAAGAGTCAGATAAAACATCATGAAAAATACAAAACTTAATTACACAGTGAAGCATGCTGTACCTTACTTTCTCTTTTGTAAAAAGAGAGTAGCATTTCTGCATGTTAGTGTGTTGAGGGTAGGTTAGTTATCACTAAGGTTGAGGGTAGGTGAGTCATCACTGCCCTAGTGCTACCTCTGGCCTGTTTGAGGTAATGGAGAACTTAATAAACGGGAATAGTGAGAGCCTTGTTTAGATTCATGGTAAATATTGTCTGTAACTAGCAACTTTGTTTTGGTTTTGATGTCTCTACTGGAAGAGTTGCTTTTTTTTTTTCTTCCAACTCCACTTGAGCATGGTTATCTTTATGGGGACAGTGGACAGCATGTGACTTGCATAATCGTTTAAGTAGTATTTAGAAACAAGTATTCCAGTGCAGGTTCTGGGAGCTTTTTCTTCCCCTGTAGTCCATATCTCAGTGTTATATGTCAAGTGCTGCTCTCTGATTTGGCACTTCACCAGACCTTTATATAACCGACTTCCTGAACTGTTAAAAGCAGTAAAATGAACTAATAAATGAACTAGTAAATGAGGTATCAAAAGAGCTGTTTACACGTAGGGACAAGAAAGTACTCTTATTTTCTTGTTGTTGTTGCTGGACCAACACGTGTGATGAAGGAAAGCTGGCTTTAATTAGGTACCAAGTTTTTTTCATTTAAAGCAAGCACAAGGTACACACTTTGTATGTAGCTGCTCAGCATAGTATAGCTAAAATTGCTGTTGCCATTAACATGCATGCCAGAGTGATTCTCAAGAGGCAGGAAGTGTGAGTCCAGTTGTGAGTGGAAGTATGACTAATTGGTCAAGAGAACGACCTCGAGTACTTCTGTAGCAAGTTTTTCCCAAGTGCCTGCCGAAAGAATAAGTTTCATGGAGGCCTTTGCATCTTTAAGTGAGAGTTGTTGTAGATGAGGCTGACAGTTGCTAGATACTCTGTTCACGTGCTGGCATCCTGGGAAGGATAGTGGGGAATAAGACATAGCAGAACTGAGTCTAAAAGTCTGACTGTGACCAAAAACTAAGTGTTGGTCATCATTTTTATGTGTAAGCTGCCTCTTTTGACTTCTGTAGCTCATCATAGTGGTGGGAACTTTCTCTTTGAAGCAAGGGAGACAAGCTGTTTTCTGAAATTGGATAAAGAACTGTAGTTGTCCAGCCTGTTTTCAGAGCTGGGGGAGAAGTAAATCCTGAAAAAAGTCTTCTAAAAAAGCTGCTGCTTCTGTTGTTTGGAATGGTTAGCTTATCCCCTGATTTTTTTCTTAAGATGGACACTGAAATACTACTGTGATGATGAAGACTGACAACTTACCTTTCTATAGCTGGAGAAGGTTTTTATTTATTCCTGCTTCTGCTTTTAAGGGTGAGGATGAGACTTGGAAGGAAACATAGTCTACTCAACAGATAGGTGACAGCTGGGAACAACTATTCAATTGCTTGAGCTGGAGATCATCTATTCAGGAGTGTTCTGTGACTGTCATACTGTTAGATTTTTAGGAATGGCTCCTCATAGTGGTGTAACTGAACAGGAAGTGGAAGCCAATTATTTTGTTCAAGGATTTCTCAGAATGACTTTGAGCAGGGTAGATATCCAGTGTCTGGTATGTCAGAGCTGATCAGTTGAGATGCCTGTTTGCTCGACGTACTTGGGTGACAAGCTTTGCTAAATCTGATGCCATAAGCCTAGTCTGAGGCTGCAGCTTTAGCTTTACTCTCACAGGAGGGCACATTATTGAAGTGAATGGGGGAATATCACTTCCAGAAATATTTGTTCTGCATAGTACTGCCTGTGCTACATTGAGGGGAGAACCAGGAGCAGCACCTGACAATTTTTGTGATGTCTACACAGCTCAGCAGTGCCCTATGAAGCTCTGGCATAGGGACTAGAGAAGCTTATCTAATGCCCATTTTAAAAATTATGACAGTGATAGATGAGAAATACAAGCTTCTCAAGGAGAAAGTATTTAAACTGCTGCCCGGTTCTTTATTGTTCTTGAGTGAAAGTGGGGGTAGATTGCACCTCTTGGAACATTAGTTTGTTGTGAAAGTGTTCTGCTTTGAAATCAGACCTTTGGAAAATGGAGAACTTTCAGTTCCACTTCAGTATGGCTGGTTCTTAGGATGTCAGGGTAAAGGCTGTGTCTCTGGGGAGTAAAAATCTCTGGCTGGGAGGGATAAAAGTGCCTGTTTGGCTGAGAAGTGATTTTGCTTTGAGATCAATTATCACTTTATATAGCCACAAAAGTGACTCTGTTCCCTTCATTCTGGTCCCAGCCCTGGTTGTTCTGATAAGGTGTGCTGGGGTTTCTCCATGAGGCACATCCTTTATGGCATGAAGAAGCTATTAGCAAAGAAGTATGTGTTTTCCGTACCTGCATGTTTTTCTTCTGACTGGCAGCATTGGCAAATTACTGATGGTTTGCTCTGAGGTTAAGATTTTCTCAGTCACGAAGCTCAGATCACGGGAAAGCAAACTTTAAAGCTCCCTTAAGAAGTGGGTCTGATAACTGCTGAGATGACATCTGAGCCAAAAACATGGTCAGTGTAGAAGGCTGCTTAAGAAGGTCATTGTAGAAGTGCTCTAGGGAAAAGTCTTTTGTGTAATTTAGAAACAGCTGAAGTGGTAAAGAGACATAATTATCAACATTTTTTAAAATAATGACAGGAAGTGAATATTTTCATGTGTGCAGAATAGATGCTTACTAAATTAAAAGTACTCTGGCCACTCTTAGCTTATGGCTGTTGTAAGGTGATACAGGTATTAGAACTAACAATTCGTAGAAATACTGCGTCCTAGGTTTTTTGACTGAATTGCTCGTAGACTCATGTGTGAACACCTTTTGTTTATCTCCAACTTATTGCAATTTCACATTTAATTTTAATATGAAAATTTACTTACTGATGCAATTATATGCTATGGGTTGTTATAAACTGTGTAATGCATTTTCTAGAAAATGAAATTATTTTTCACCTATCAATTTTGCTTGAAAATATTAGCTATGAGAGCTTTACAGCTATTCGCTTACCTGAAGTTTAAGCTGATTTAAAATCAATGATAAAAACATTCTTTGGTTATGTGTTCTCAAAGCAAATGTTTACTTCAGAGTTGTAATTCAGCTGAGAAGTCCTTAATTTAACAGCTTGGGCTATTCTGCCTATATTTATGAAACTTTCCACTTTTGTTTTTTGTGAAAACATTTCAGAAGGGCATTTCATAATAGAAGGTAGCATTAGTCTTGAGTACAGTGATATTAGCAAACAAAATTAGAATCTTTTGACTTAAATTGCTGTCAATGTAATTGGTGTATTGGTGCTTAAAAACTAGAGTGTGTTCAAGGCGCCTCCTGCTTAACATCTGACACTCCCCACTGTAAAAAAAGCAGCAGCATGAAACCATCTTTTACATGACCCTTAGGGTGTCTCAGAAGTTTGGTTTTAAAAGATGTGGAAAAACCTGCATTCTTTGCCTCATTGCTGGAGATGGATGTTTTGAGATACATACTAAACTAACTGGAAAACCAGTGTCTTGCTTGTTCTGTGCTGGGGGCTGATTGGTAAATTAATTGCCTGGTGTTAGATAATGTGTACGAAGAGCTTCCTCTTAAACACTCTGCAGAACGAGTACAAGAGATATGGACACGTGTCTAGGGAAAAGGGGATTGCATACAGAGGCTGTCTTTGGGAACGGTTTGGAGGTGGATTACGTCTTTGCTAATCCTTAAGGTGCCCAGGATGGTCCCTAATGAAGAAATCACGAAAGGTCATCATGAGTTACTGTACTAAAAACCCACATGGATGGGTTTCTGTGCAGTTTAGAAAGTAGTGCAGCACTCCTCTGCTTTCTAGGCTTAACCAGCTGAGATGCTTTAGTCTGTGCCAGTCTCCAGCGTAGCAGCTGCAGAGTAATACTCAGCATAAATCACAGAGGTGTATTCCAGGTGCTTTGGCTGCCTTCTCATTTGTGGTTTGTTTGCCTTTGGTTATATTGTGAGGCAATGGGCAAGAGCTCTGTTAGTGATGCTAATAAATGGTCTTCGTGGTTTTAGACACTTGTTTTCCCTCTGTTTAGGGAGTGACAATTCCCAGTCAGAGACGCTATGTGTACTACTATAGCTACCTGTTAAAGAATCACCTGGATTACAGACCAGTGGCACTGCTGTTTCACAAGATGATGTTTGAAACAATTCCCATGTTCAGCAGCGGAACTTGCAGTAAGTACCCAGCACCCCGTTAACCTCCATTAGCTCTTGTAG